TCTTCTATCACCGTTCATTTTCCATAGTGAATATATGTTTTCATATTTGTATCCTAGAGATCAGAGCAGCTACATGCTGACTTTTCAGAACAATTACTATAATGCTACCGTCTCCACACAAATAGAGGGGTCTTCTCTAAGTGTGCGTTGCTCTTATAACAGATAAAGGTGAGAAAGTAGGGTAAAGCTGGAGAAAAATCTGTTCCCAGAAGTCAGTAGTTTTCTGTGCCTTGGGTGGCTAATAGATATTACGTGTACTAAAGAAAATAAGGCAAATTATGGTGGTGGGTTTGTTGTTGGTGTTGTTATTATTGTTGTTATTAATATTATGCTTTTGGTAAAAGTTTCTGTTTTTTGTTTTTTGGGTTTTTTTTGGTTTTTTTTTTTTGTACTGGAAACACAATACAAATGAATACAAAGCTGTTAGCTGAAAGAGAAAGGAGATGTCTTTCACAAAAGCACGCTTTTTCCAGCAGTCTGTCAGGCATTCAAACAAAACAGAAAAACACAAACAGGGGTTAATAGATTAAATCTTTTCTCTTCTTAAGTGTTCTTTTTTTTTCCTTACTTTAATACTTCCACAAGTAAATGCTTCTTCACCATAAATTGATGTATAAACTCAGACAAATACAATTTTTCCAGTGAAAAAGTAAGGGGAGGAAAAAAATCCTTTTCTGCAACAGCAACTGGGAAATGGTCCTTACGTATGTAATGAAAAAAAACAGAAAAGAAATCTTACCCTTAAGAAATGTTGTAGGTAATCCTTAAAGTATTCCCTAAAGCATAATTTAAACTGGATTCTGAAAAGCTTTCCCATAGCATTGGAGAATCTTAGGAACTTTCTCAGCAATTAAAATGTTTCCTTTCCATTCACTTGAAGGGTACTAACAGGAGTTACTGTAAAAACTGTTACAGGATACTTTAAAAAAGAAGATACTTAAGTTTTGCCCGTTCCTACTGATTATTCCACTTAAACGTTATCATTTATTCTTGAGCTTTTGTTATGCCTCCTTCAAATTTTTTTGTGTTAGACACATCAGAATCACTGGGCTTTGAACATTAGAAAATCTTAGAGAAAGTGGAGGGGCTAGAGAGAATGGAGACCCAAGAGTGAGAACTTACTTCAGTTCAATGAAAGCAAGTAGGAAGTGAGAATTCCTGAAGAAGATGGCAAGGGCTTACCTCTTTCAGCAGTTTTTCCAAGCCATGAATTCTCTGTGGCATTGCCATTGTAAGTGTAATGTCATAGATAAATGTGGAGTGTTTGAAGGGTGAAGATTAATTATAGTGGATGTAGGAAGAAAGGCAGAATGTGGGGAAGTGCTTCTGTTTGTCTGTTTTTTCCTTGGAAGAAGAAATGAAGAATGCTATTTGTTTTAAACATGCATCAGACCCCCTAGTTGTTGCACTGTCGTTGCCTGTAAAAATGTGTGTAATTCCATAGCACTGTTAAAACACCAAAAAGAATGTCCTTGCATATGTGCCCTGGGAGGTTATTAAGATTTCCTATTTCCCCAGGGATGGGAACAAAATTACCAAATTTACCTGAGACTAATGCAGTCCCAAATGGAGGTAGTCTTTTTACAGTGATGATGGCAAACTCTTTTTGTGAGCTTGTTTTCAGAGGTTGGTTTTTTTTTTTTTTTGATAAGCAAGAGTCTTTCCCATTGAATATTTTTAACAATGATTAAACATGAGAGTTAATTAGGATTGTACTTTTCATAACAAAACATTTCAGATGTGCTGCTGAAAGCTTTCAGACAGAAAGGATAAATGCTTAGCAGTCTAAACCAGTGATCCCAGCATTTCAGAAAGGATGATTAATCACATATGAAGCTACAGTAATGGGCGAAAGACTTACATGCTTTGAGGAGTTCTTAGGACAGTTATTGCTGAGTCCACTGCCCAAGTTTTCAAAGATGCTTGTTCCCTACAAAGAAGCTGATGAGAATCCTGATTACGCAGCATTAGACCTGGCAACTTGATTATCATCAGTATAATAACTCTGTTTTTTCTGTTTCTACTCTTGCCCATAGGATCAGGCAGCTAAAGATAAAGCCATGCAAAGTATGGCTACAATGTCATCTGCCCAGATTATCTCTGCAACAGCCTTCCATAGTAAAATGGCCTTGCCTGGTCTCCCGCGACCAACCTACCCTGCTGTTTCTGGGGTGAGTGAATCAGTGTCTTGGAGGAATTGGGCTGAAGACACATGAGTATTTGAAAGAATGTTGGGACCTGCTCAGGAAAATCCTGAGAACATCAGAAAGAATGAGCAAATCTGTCATATGGCTTCAACAGTTTGGGTCTGATTCTTAGCTCACACTGGTATAAAACAACAGAGTTTCACTATGTGCTTTTTTTAAAATTACACAAGTGAGGTAGCAATCGGATCCTTTGTGTTTTCAGGTGCCTGAAATATTTTTAGCTGTCTGTAATCGTTTTCTTAGTCTTTCTTTTGATCTTGTTGCATTAAAACTGTTCAGACCATCCTGACCCTTTCTCAAGCTTATAATTCCCAAGCCCATCCTGAGCGCTCAGATCACAAATTGATGGCCCTTATATAAAATCCTTAACAGAGGAGGCCTGTCAGCATCCCTTAATTTTGAGGTGGGCTTAGTGAGCTTTTGCTGAGCATTGATTTCTGCCAAAATACTCCCTTGGAGTTCTCCTGGGGAAGATGGTCCCTCCGAGAGAGTGAGCATCATTAAAGCTTTGGAGACAGAGGCACAAAGTGCGTACAGAGTACTTAACACTGAAAACCACTGTTAGGTCAGTTGCTTGCACGTCACTAGTATTCATGTGTAGAAAGAAAATGAAGACCAGACAGCACCTCCACAAGGATGAAACCAGGAAGGCAGAAAAAGGAGATAGAGCTCAGTCACATCTTTAAAAGTCTGTGAGCTTGTAGTTTCCTTCCTAAGAAAGGCACAAGACTTACTTTGTCCTAGGAGTGGTGACTTTTGCCTGTATGTTGTTCTCTTGCAGTTTTGGCAAGGAGCTTTGCCAGGCCAAGCTGGATCCTCCCAAGAGTGAGTATTCCTTCATGTGAGCATCCAAAGCATGTGCTTCTGCTGTTTCCTCTCTGCAGCCTAAGGGACACCATTAGCTGTTACAAGATTTATAAAATGCTCAGATAATGTTGGTTTTGCTCTCAGACAGATTCCCTGATCATGGATCTGAGACTTAAGGCCAATGGTTGAAGACACACTGAGAGGCATGAGAGGATCTTAAACAGATAAAACCCTATGTCTTCATATGGTGCCTTTAACATGGATTATACCCCTTTAATGTGTCCCATGACTCAAGCAGCTTGATATGGGTTATTTTAAGGGAGCTGCTGAATCTAGCAGCCTGATAGAGGCAAGGCTGCTGCAGCTCCATGCTCCCAAGTTCAACCAGTAGTGAGGCTCAGCATGTACTCCCAGTAGGTGCATATACAAATATGCATATACATCACATATACATTGCATATACTTGCATATGCACACGTCTGGCCACACAGACCAGCACAGACAGACAACACTCAGCACTCACACCAATACAAACAGTACCAACAGCCTCATCCTGGACACTTCTCTGACTGATGAGGGTGAAGGTGTGCTAGTGGGAAATACACATGCATTGTGGATCCATCCAGTAGCTACTCTGGGATCCTTTGTCTCCCTGTGTGCTGACACCCAGGCAAGTATATCCTCGAGGCTGCAGCCCCACTCCAGTTGCTGGTGCAGGCCTCTCACTCATACGCACAAACGCACGTGCATGTGCACAGACAGACACTGTGAATCTCTCCAGTAACTGGACTTAGATGCGTAGCCCACCCAATAGCTGGATCTTCACTTTCCCTGGTTTGCTTCCCACAGAGATAAATACACACACACACAAACTCATCTTTCAGTCCACCTCCAGACTCCATAGAGAGTCTCGCTACGTCATTTGGCCTGAACCTCTTAGTCCCTCTTAAAGCATCCTTACCCTTGGAGATATGCACAGCTGGCTCCCAAGCCATCTACTTGGTGGCTAGTATGGCTTGATAATCACTAATGATGACACCCTCACTTGGTGCTGGCATTCCAAAAACAAACAAACAAACAAATGCACACACTGAACTGAGAGCTCCTCATGCAGGAAAACAATTAGAAATAGAATTTAGTAAGAGGACATGACGGACCGCACTGACAAGTTGTGGACAGACAACTGTACTAACCTTCTTACATATGACTGGCACCTTTTATTGACATATTCTCCCTAAACATCTGCATAAACAGATCAGGGAACAGAGAGTGTTAAAATACCTTGGGGGGGAAAAATGGATAGTAAAATAATGGAAGCCATCCTGGGAGAAATAAAAAGTAGATTTTATGCATTTAGCTTGAAAGTGAATGAGGAAGCATCAATGTGAGAGGTTCTTTTTAGAAGCCTGAAGTATCTGCCACACAGAATGTCAGATGATGTCTCCAGATCCTGATTTTTCTTACAGTGGTGTTAAAATGGAGCTGAGCTGTCTTGAAAGCCAGATTCAGTTCTGGGTGTTGAACATCTCTCAGTCTGGGCCTAAAAGTGTGAGATGCATCCAGCCCAGACGTATATCCACTTACATAAATTTAAATCTATCTGTGGTTGAAAGAAAAGGATAAACAAATGGGCACCAGTGTATTAACAGGCTGATAAGGATTTCTAAATAACAAGTCTACAGGGAGAGTCTGCTGCACACCTGCAGGGAAACCTTGTAAAATCCACTGCTGACCCCATACTGTTTGTCTCCATGACCCTCTCTTGCTCACACAGGAAGATAATTTCCCAAGGACACTTATACCACTTTCTCCCTCAGTAGAAATACTTAATCTAATCTGTGCAGACAGTTGGTCAAGAGTCTTCTTGTTTTGGTTTGTTTTGGTTTTTTTGTTAACCATCTTTCTTTGTATGCTTCTGTAGTGTGAAACCTTTTTCTCAACAACCTTATGCTGTACAGCCTTCACTGCCATTTCCAGGTAGGTAAGGAAATGTCATTCCTTGTTTTGAAGTGACATTCCACTTCAAAAATAGCGACCACTTAAAGTTTAAAAATTAGGTTTTTTAAAAAAATATTTTACCTATTGAAATATTTCAGTGAGCCCAAAATTAATTTTTATATAATTCCCCCTTTATCACCAGTTCCTATCCTTTTACTTAGAGAGCTGAAGCTTTACCTTTTTTTTTTATTTACAAAAACCCCATTTTTTCCTGTTTTAGGTTGGTTGTTTTAGAGTTTCTTTTCCTCCTGGCTCAGCAGAAAATAAAAGTTTATGTATCTCTACTGTTCATCCACCACGCTGCATATAGTAGAACACTGTTTCCATCATAACATGATTGCCTTTCCAATATGTCATTAAGTGGAACAACAAATGCCTTTTCCATCTCAATTTTCACAATTTGAGAGGTTAATGGTCATGTTAATGGTGATGCTTAATTCTGATACTAAAGCAGTTCATTTCACTGCTCATCTAGGCCTCAATCTAGATCCTCTTAAAGTTGCAAAACATGTTTTCTCTGATGTCAAAAAACAGGTAGATTGTCTTTTACATCACTACCAACCCTGCCAGTGCTGTCTTAGCACAGGGTAACTGACAAGACATTTAGAGCACAGGAAGAGTGAGGACCTTGTGAATGACATTTTTGCATGATGACTGAAGTCGTAAGAAAATGTAGTCAGCTTTGACAGCAGGTGCTTTACTGGAAACTTTTTGCTTTCTAAATGTTGTTATATAAATCCTGTGTCCTTAGGGTTTGAGTCTCCTACTGGCCTTTCACCTTCCCCGTCAGCACCAGCTTGGCAAGGACGAAGGGTTGCTAGCTCCAAACTTTGGATGCTAGAATTCTCTGCATTCTTGGAACAACAACAAGACCAAGACACAGTAAGATACACACCTGACTTCCACCCCTCATTAATTTTTTGTCTTCAGATAGCTCCTGTTCGTCATGGGTATGTTATGCTACTGCATGTGCGTGGAAATACTTGCTTCATTGCTCTACTGAGAACAGAAAGCCATCTTTGGGAAACACAAGATATCCTTCTCTTAGAGGACAGAGTTGCCTATAGCGATATAGCCAGCTCTGTGCCATGTGCTTCTGGCCTCCCTTTTGAGGATCATGGATGTTCACATACCAGAGCTCAAGGCACTGAGGTCTTAAGACAGTGGTACAGCCCCTGCTGGGCTACTCTAGCTGTCCTGTTCAGCCTTGGAGGATAGACCCAGAATCAGATGGTGATCAGATGATCACATAAAGCCACGTATTTCTCTGGTGTGCTGGGAACTTAAATTTGGGGGCAGCAGGGATGAATTTGCATCAATGTGTTTCCATGGTACCACCTATAAAATGGAATTTGCCTGTCTCACTAAACCTTGTGATACTGTATCTTGAGATGTACATTGGTGATGGGCCAGTTACCTTTCCTCTGTCTGAGATACGTAAGTTCAGAAAAGATGATAATATTTGGCTGGTGCTTTGCTGTGGGATTTCAGGACAGGAGCATTTATGTTTGACTGAGTGACCTGTGACAGGTAACACTCTGTATCTCAGGTTATTTCAGACTATATAGCAGCAGCATGAGGCAATAGTTTATGAGTGAATAGAGGAAAAAACCCGCCAACAGTGTTTCAGAAGAAGCAAGAAGCATGGATGTATTGATAGGAAAGAAATAACAGCACAAGCTGGTGTTAGCAGAGATATTTCTGCTAATAATTCTGCTCTTTTAGAAAGTGCTATCAAATCTTCAGTGACATCCAGTAGTCTTCTGTGATGAATCATGAATGTTCAGTGTGTACTGAATGGTACTGAACAATCTCCTAATTCCATGTTTTTCCTTTTCTTGCAGTATAACAAACACCTATTTGTGCACATTGGGCAGTCAAGCCCCAGCTACAATGACCCCTACCTCGAGGCAGTGGATATCCGGCAGATTTATGACAAGTTCCCTGAGAAGAAAGGGGGCCTGAAGGAGCTCTTTGAAAGGGGGCCAGCTAATGCCTTCTTCCTTGTCAAATTCTGGGTAAGGAAAGGACCCTTTGTACGGCACCCATTTGCTATGAAGTTCTCTCTTTAAAAGCGGTGGCCTCGCTAGCTCTTAGAAGACTGCTGCCTTCCAACAAGTTTTCCTTTGCAGGCAGCTTCATACAATTACAACTGTCACTTGAGATCTTTCCTTGACTGCACGAGGCCCTCATTCTGGCCTGGAGCAAGATGTATCTTTCACAATGTCACCTGTAGAATAGAATAGTTGACTAGTGTCTGGAGATTTTATTTGCTAATGGTGACTTGGAACCTTTAAAACTGTACTTATGTATAAGAGAAGAATTGAGAGGAAATTATTATCTGTGTACTCTTATCTATTCATTTCTCTCAGTGTTGAGTAACTTCTCACTCAGAGGCAACATTTTTTAATCTCTTCTCCTGTCTCATTAGCTGTATTTTGTCTTACCCAAGTATTAAAAATTTACAGATGCATATTTACTGCAGGCAAAAGATAAAAGAGACATATAATGAAATTGGATTATGCTGATAATGTATTACTGAAATTACTTCTGGTAAGTTGGCAAAAATCAGCCTGGCAAAAGCCTACTCTCCCAATTTGGATTTTTGTGAGTTAGCTGAAATTTGCAAAACCCGTGCCATTGTGCTTCAGGGTACAAACAAAATAGTTTTGGTGATCAATATTATCATAGGTATTACAAGATTAGAAGTAATAGCAGCTTGAGGCAGTTGCATGCTAGATGGCTGAGGGAATGTGTAATGGGATTTGGAGCCTTTCACCTTGGGTTTAGCACTTGTAATTCAACCCCAGGTCAGGAGTGAGATGATGAGAAATAAGCTTTCATATTTCATACTCTTCATAAAAACTGGCACTAGAAAGCCTCTTAACTGTTCCTGTCAGGAGAAGAAAGAGTTAACTTCAATGCCTTGAGATGCCTTGAGATCCCAGCTGTCCCAAGCCTAGCCTTTCCAGAACTAAGTCAGAGATGTTGGCTGGGAGTTTGCTGTTCAATTGTCTGGTGCTTAGAGTGGTAGTTATTGGTGCTTCTTGGAGACACATAATTTTACTGACTGCAGACTGTGAGCTACTGAGCTGGGTCCCTCATGGGATTAGCCTCTATCAGAGTACAACAAAGCCTGCTTGGGAACGTTGAAAGAAAAAGTAAAAGACCAGCTCTGTTTTAGGTGGAAGAGAAATACTTGGGAGAGACAGCAGCACCGTGCTGACAAGGGTATCCTTTGACGAAATCTGGGTAGTGATTGCCCTACTAAGAACTGTGTGGAAAGGAACCGAAGTCTGATGTGACAAAAGAAAGGAAAAAAGAGTAAGAGGGGATAGCTTCTAAGAAATGGTCATTGGAAACGTAGGAGCTGTGCCAGCTGCTTCCCGCCATGGGGTAGGGATCCTAGGAAAGTCTTCATGTTGAGGTGAAGAGCGCTGGCTCCTGTGTGGTATCACTCTGAAGTGCTTTGGAAGTTTCAGGAACCAGAAGTAAATCCTTAAAGGGAAACATTCCTTAGAGAGAATAAAGCAATTTTAATTCCTTGACTTAAGAGGAGAGTAATTATAATGAAATTGTGATCTAGTGCAACTGTGATTTTATTTATCAAAACTGTTAGTGTGCTTTTGTTCTTGTGGGGTTAGGTTTGGGGATTGTGCTTGCTTGTTTTTTAATATCAGAAGGATAAATGTGGCTTATGGATCATGTCAAGCCAACCCAAATTAGGCTTTTGAAGGATTTATGTGACGGAATGTCATTAAGTTGGACCCATTCTGGGCCCACGTGAGGTGTCTAGTGTTCAGAGGGTATCAACTCACTGAAATTTGGCTTGCATAAGGAGATATGACGTAGGATTTGAAACACATTTGCTCCAATATGTGATGCCCTGGGGCTCTGCATTTGTACACTCATAATGACAGTGATCTTTCTGGGCTTGGTTTAATATTTAGACTTTCTGATTCTTTTATTGGTACCCTCGCATTGTTGCATCCCATCTGGAGTTAACATCAGGTTTTATTGGTGGAAGCACTACAGATTGTCACTTACAAATAAGCTAAGTTTACAAATCAAGTCACTGACTGAATGGAAGCTGCTAAGTTCTTATATTTGTTTCTTAGCATAGACAGCAGTAGGGGGTGAAAGCACCATTCCTGTTGCCATATTCTGGATGAGAAAGGATTGGGGCACTTTCATGATTTGCGCTTTGTTTCGCAGGAGTACTTACATTAATCATGTTGTAACATTTCAGTTAGGATCTCTAAGGCAATATAACTAAAGCAGTTCAAAAAACCTTTTGTATTCAACATGCTTGAAATATTGTGGTAATGCAGTCTTATACTTAAAGCATGTGAGCCATGCCTGTAATGCGCTACATGTGTGTTGTGAGATTTCCTGAATTTGGTGTATCGCAATAGATGTGTGCAACTCCCCTACCAATAAATGCTTTTCACTCATAAGGCAATGTGATTTTAAAAAAAACAGTTTAACAGAGGAAAACTAGATTTCAGCTGAGATTTTTATACACCTCTGCATTTTTATACCTCTGTAATGGTATATGCTAGGGTGTTGTTTCATTTTGCTGCCTGATTGCTCTGGATGGCTATACAAATATATAGTTAATGTCCAAAGATGTGTTAGGTAAAGCAGCTACTACTGTTGAATTTATAGCATCATTTTAGGATAAAAGTATTATCCAAAAGCAAATTACCAATAACCTTAAATGTGGTGACTAGAGTTAAATACTTGAATGAGTATTTTGAGACATGAAGATATGATTGATTTTTCAAAGGTTCTGAACTGAAGTGGCGGTTGCAGGTGACAAAGACTTGAAAAATCAAGGCATTGAATAAGTTGTTTTTGTATCCATGTAGTTTTAGGCTTGAAGAACCTGAGGCAGGAACCTGCACTAACCACTGAGTATACCAGATGATCTGTTGTACAACAGAAGTATAACTCTAAACACCAGGGTTGGGATTTCTTGACATCACTGATAGCACTTAGGATCTAGTGTGACTGAGAAGGAGATGTTCATGTTTGTTCAATGGTGCTTTAAATTGTTTACACAATAGTTAAGAGTTAAAAGTTGATTAGTTTGAAACATACACAGTGTTTGCAATTCTTCCTTGATTTTGGCATTGGAAGTTTGGTACAATGAACTAACACAGGGACATGGAGTGGCAGATTGTGTATGACATCTGTGTGACATTTCTCTGTGCCCCAAGTGCATTCTAGCACATGACAATGAATGCGAGCCATTAGCCTCCCAACACATGGGCAGTGGCAGCTTTGCTCTTTTCCAGTGTAATATTATCTCTACCACCTGTTACTTGGTTCTCCCCATGAACTCCTCCTATATGCATCGTTATTAATAGTTTGGAGAAGAGGCGTTTTCAGGGCTTTGCACATTAGTAGAATGGTGTACTTGCATCTTAAAGCTTTCAGAAGTTGTGAGACTCTAGGTGGAAGACAGAAGGAAAATGACAAACCAGGAATTCAGGACAGACAGTACTTTGTCCAGAGCAGCCGTCTGCAGAGGTGTGGATCAGGGGAATTGCTTAGGAGATCTATCTTTCCTGCCAATGATGAATATATATAGTAATTTCTTCTCCTCGGTCATGGGCAAGCTGGATCAGTCAAATCACTCAGTGTTTTCTGTCCAGTAAATGAACTATACTTTTGTGGAAGGGGCTGAGTGCGTGGGCTGGAGACTGCTATCCTGCTCTTGGCTTCTGTCCTGTACCAAGCAAATCTAGTCAAAACAGCAGCAATGCAAATTCCCCTCGGTATCCTGCCCTTCTCACTGTATGCCTTCAATCTTGATGTGGCAGAAACTACCTGGAGAGCAAGGAGATGGTAATTTGGTCTCCAAGTCCACTCTATCCTTGGCACTTCTTCTGAGGGAGCAAACAAGAGAGCAGCTAGCGACAGAGATTTTTATGATCTTTGCACATTTTTTTTGAGAATGGATCTGACAGCCCATTAATTTCACCTGCAGTCACCAGCATCACCTCCTACCAGTTACTGCCTTATGTAAGGGGACTCTGTCAATGGCACTTCTTTCACCAAAATCATTCCCCATAGTGTTCAACAGTATAGAGATTATTAGCAACAAAAGCAGATCGAAAGACTGAATTATTGAGGGAATCTGTCTGCTGGGTGTCAAAATAATACAGTCCTGGGGGGCTAGCTAAGTCTCAGCAACACGTACTGTTGGCAAGGCCTTCTGCTGTCTTTGGCTAGCTCAGGAACTCTCCCCTTTCCCCTTTCTTGGAGGCTGAAGCTGCAGTGACACAAATTTTAGGCTGAATTGTTCAGCATATGCCTTTCCATTGACAACATGGGACCTACATGCAAGATATTGGCAAGCTATGGCTTCTCACAGCATGTAATGCCATTTGGACTCTTGTCCAGTCGTTGCTTTTCAAAACCTCAGTTAAGCTGAAGACTGATTCTCAAAGGTCACATTTCCTTCTGTGAAGAATTTCAGAGAAATGTTGATTCACTGCCTCATCCTAGTGGGGACTGGGCCTTTCTTGGAAATTAGTTGTGAAACTCACTCCCACCAAAGATCAGACAAAAATCTTGGCTTAGTGTATGGTTAGGACACTGCACAATGCCAGTTTTTCTGTAAGTGTTTCTTTCTTGGGTTGCAGAAATTGAGTGATACACTCAAGCTTATCAGAGCTGTTATCAGCAGAGCTGCTAAGAGACTCAGATGACCAATATGATTTTAAAAAACCAACCAAACAAACAGAAGTAATACTAGCTTTTTGAGGGTTACTATGCCCTTCCATAAACAAATCCCTTCTCTTCCATCTAGAAATCTTGTCTTGTAGGTATTTTAAAATTCTGCTTACTTCTCTGGAAAGGAGGAAATCTCAGGTGTTTTCCCAAAAACAGGCAGATCGGCTCTCTTGCATGCAATATGTAGATCTCCAAGATGTGCTAGATCACACATACCTCAGTGATTGTAGTTTCAGTATGTTTGGAAGTCATCAGCCAAGCTGTGGACAAGTAT